GTTTAAGAAACATTAATTCTAGAGTTTTATTTAGGAAAGCCTTAGACGATTATTACTTGTAATTTCTATTGTATTTTTAACGGTTTTTAATATGTATCTCATTTTACATATCTTAATAATTCTTGTTTATTAGTTTTTAATTCTTAGCAGGACCCCGTTGATAACAGTACTATGTACTGAAGGGTTATCCTGAGGAAATATTCGATTATTATTATGATTATTATTATTTATTACAATTATATGCCCTATACAATGCACTACATTGGCCTGACAATGTTTTAATCATTGGAAAATATAAAACTTGTAAGTAAACATGTCATTGTTGTTATTATACATATAACTATCCTTTGTATGTCTTGCTCAGCTGTCAGTGTAAGCTGTGAACTGTTAAAAAAAGCTATAATTGTTTATTTTACCGTTCTAAACTGACAAAAGCTGAAGATTTTTGGTAGAAATGTCTTTTTCAGAGTTACTGTTCAATGCAGTTTTTACCATTGTAAAAGGTCAGTGTCAAATCATCTTACATTTTATTACAACCATCCTCTATCTAACCTTTCATAACAGTGGGTCCCCTCATGCACACTTCTCCATCTTGGTTTGGCCCAAGAAGTTCACCAGTCTGAACATCAACCACCTGGAAATGACAGAGTCAATCAAAGGTTTCACTTTTTAAGAGGATGAACAGCACCCTTAAAATATTGAAATTAGCCTCACTGGTGATGAATAGAGTTGAGCAAGGTTTCATTCCAAGTAAAATTATCTTCTTGTAGCTGTGGTATGTTTTGTAATTATAAACATTAATTATTGTTATTATTATATGGCTTGTGTTTGTGGCTGATATAACAAGCGTTCTGATTGGTCAACTGTAGGGCATTATTCTCCCATAATGCCCACAGGCCAATTACAGGCCCACAAAACCAAAGCAAAAAGCCATATAATAAACCACTTATAAACCTCGAACATTCGGTCTTTACAGGAAAATCTCAAACCTCAGCCTTGCAGTATTGACCTCGCTATCGCTTGGTCAATACGGCATGGTCTCGGTTTGAGATTTTCCCATAAAGACCTCACTCTCAGTTAATAAGTAGTTATTAATAATCATTATTAAATATTAATATGAGTTCTTATTAACTATTGCTTTTATCATATCATTTTTAAGTGGAGGCAGCGTGGCCAAGTGGTTAGGGCGCCGAACTTGAAATCTGAAGGTCACGGTTGAAGTCCCATGCTGACCACTAAGCTAGAGTTGTTTCTTGGTAGACCCCAGTTCAACTCCTTGGTCATACTAGTAAATAGCTAACTGGTCTGCCTCCCACCAGTTGGGATTTCTAAACCTATTATGATTATTTACAATATTTCTTTCTTTCAGTTCAAGTGGCATGCCTGAAAACTAGCTAGTTGTAGCTACAATGTAAGTGCATCGATCGCTATAAATAATGGCATTTGATAAAAAATATTAAATGTAGCAGATATATAGCACTTACCTTTCCTTCAAGGTTTGGCAACATAACTCCTACAGCACCAGGCTTGCAGCTATTCCGAGGACAAAGCATTGCTGCCGGGCTTGTCTCTGTTAGACCATACCCTTATTCAAACCATTTAATAATTAATTATTGGTAACATGGGTGCTGGCATGAAATGAAAGAAAAAATAGTTTGATTGGAAGAGGGCGCAACCCTTTTAATCCTAACCTCTAGATATTCTTAATGTTTTTTTTTTTTAATGATATCAACAATTAAAGTAATTATCTAGGTACAATATTGTTCAGCCCCATCACCTTATTTAGAGAACAGTGTGAATGTAAAGTCAGCAGAAAAAAAGCCTGACCAAGAATTACTGCACTCTGCCCATTAATTCCTGACCATTAATGTTCTTGAAATTAAAAACTGAGCATAACAAGGCAGATACAATGTTATACAGACCTCTACAGTCAGTTAAACCTCTGACATCCAAGTGGTAAGAGAATTTCAAGACCACATGAAGGGAGACAATGTCTTTATTCACAGAAATTCATGTATTCTGAACTAAATGAGCATGGTTTCCTTTATTTAATATTGTAAATGGTTCCAAAGATCTCTCACCTTGTCCAAGAGCGACCACACTGGGAAGATTTTTCCTCACTGCATGGGTTAGTTCTTTACCAAGAGGTGCAGCACCACTGATGATGGTGTCAATGCTTGTCAGGTCATAATTCTTCACAGATGGATGCTTGGCTAAAAATGTGATAATTGGTGGCACAAGATACAAACAATGTATCTGCAAAGTACGATCATGTAATCATTGAACAACAGACTGGTATAAAGTTGAACCTCCTCCTCATCATCATAGTCGTCCTCGTCATCATTATTATCATCATCAGCAGCATTATCACCATTTATTTACCATAAAATAATAAATTATAGATACACTACTAATGCACTCAAATGGCTAGCCTGGCGGCGAGAGAATTAACTGGTGGGGTGGAAAGTGGCACCTAAGACCTGGAAAATGTTGGGTTTCAGAAACTTTTGATCTGAACTAGAATAAGTCTTTAAAGCCTCTAAATATGATAAGTTGAGAAGTCTTGAGTTGGGTGGTTATTTCCATCCCAGACTGTGACAGTCTTGACAATTTTTTGACATATTCCGATCATTGGGGATTTATATACTGTTATTGGATATTTAACAAAATAAAAAGGATCCAATGCAGAAAGTTTGGAAGATAACAGAAAACAGAAAATCAGTATAAAAACCTGGATTAATATATGAATCAAGTTTTCGCAGTCCTTCACTTTTTTCCTACCACTTCCCTCAAATCAGTCAATTCAGGGTTTGAAAATCTCCATTCATTAAAAAACTGGCACATTAGAGAGTGGATAATGGCAACAATGATGATATTATAGAGCTAATTAAACAAACCTTAAAATCCTGTATAAGCTTCAGCATGTGGTCACCATCAAACTGCTGCATACAAACAATCTTCCCTCCACGTTGGAGAAACTGTACCATAACAACCATCATACCAAAAATGTGGAAAAAAGGCAGAAGCCCCAGAACAGTTCCTCGCAATGGATGAGACCTGAAACTGTTGTGCATTATCATACACAACTGAGACACTAAGTTATGATGCGTCAGCATGACCCCTTTAGGAAAGCCAGTTGTGCCACTGGAGTACGGCATGACACACACATCCTCTTTAGGATTGATTGGCACACCGTCTGGAAAGGCTGTACCATCATCACTGAGGAGTGATGTAAGTGGTTCACAACCTTCAGCTTCACCAATTACAAAGACTTGATTTATCCCAACTTCTGCTGCTGCCTGCTTGGCTTTGTCAGCAATGGCTGGCACCGTTATAATATATTTAGCACCAGAGTCTTTTAGCTGGTAGGCAATCTCTTTTCCTGTGAATGTTGGATTTAAAGTTGTTGCAACACCTCCAAGGGCGATGATGCCAAAGAACAAAATTGGGTATTCGGGAACATTTGGAAGATAAAGCGCAAACACGTCACCTTTCTTGAAACCCCTTTTTGCTACGGCTGATGCAAAGTTTTTCACTGATGTACTGAGTTCACTGTACGTGTAAGATTTATTTGACACACCATCAACCTGTAAAAATGGAAAAAAGAAACATAAAGGGAATTTAAAATTTCAAAAGGTAATTCCTCTGAAATAAAAGTGACAATAGATTTTTGTTCAAACTTTGTCCACTGAATATTTGTCAT